CTCTCTCTCTCTCTCTCTCTCTCCCTCTCTCTCTATCTCTCTCTCGTCTTTCTCTCTTTCCCATTTTAGTCACACTTCACACACCAACATACACACTCGTACAGAAACACATCCAGACACTCTGTAGATTGACCCCAACACAACCATTATTGCGGAGGTTTTTTTCTATACATCATGTATAATCTGACACTGTCCAAGACATCCACCTGCTCATGGCAACCACTTTTCACATCGGCAATGGATGGTCGTCTTGGACAATCTCGAAAGTATTCACAAATGCTCTCTCTCTCTCTCTCTCTCTCTCTCTCTCTCTCTCTCTCTCTCTCTCTCTCACACACACACACACACACACACACTCACACGTACAGAAGCATAACCCCATAACCGCCTGTGCTTCCCTCCCACAGCTGCAGAGAACGGCCTTGCACTACGCGGCAAGCTGCCCGGACGAGGGGCGGCTCTACCAGATACTGGCGTCTGCAGGGGCGGACGACACAGTCAAGGACGTGGTAAGGGCGCCATGTGCATGTTCTGATCCTATACATTTTTCTTGGTTTAGTTTTAGCAGACGTTTTACGGCACTAGCAACACAATTAGGTGATTAAGTTCCAAAGAGAATAACACACACACACACACACACACACACACACACACACACACACACACACACACACACACACACACACACAAAGACGAGGGATAAGGGCAATATAATATGTTTGATAGGAAGTAAGGAACAAACCACACCAGAGCACCCACCAACCATAAGCATAATTATTCTACGTCCAAATTGACACATTTGGAACCTTTGAGAAACGGGATGGAGCTACACTACATCAGGCGCCGGTTTCAGTTAGCAGCAATGATGCAGGTTAAACAATTTACAGGAAGGCCAACGACTATATCATCGTCATCGTCTTATTCCCAACACGATGTAAGCTTCGCGTGTCCCTATCTATAACTAGACGCATAATATCATTAACATTTCATTGTCATCATTACTTTATACACCTCCCACTTCTTCTTTTACTTCTTCTTTTCATAATTATTTTATCATTATGATATTGTTATGGCAGTAACTAGCAATTGCAAACATATAACTTTATCTTCATTATTATCATTATGATTATTCTATTATCATTATTATAGTTTTCATCACTACCATTGCTTTTATGTATATGATGATGATGATGATAATGACGACGGTGTTTCTGTCCGTGTCCCCAGCTAGGAAAGAGCCCGGCCGACTACCGCGCAGAGCCGACACAGCTCTCCCTCGTAGAGGTCAAGGACAAAGCTCTACGTCTGCTTGGTTCTCCGGAAAAGGCCGAGTCGAGGCCGCAGTCGTCTGCAGACAGAGCGGCCGAGGGGGAAAAGCCGATGGCGGCCATTGAGGAGGAGCCAGACGACAACGGGGCAGAAGCCGGGGGTCAAGGGGGTCAGGAGGCTGAGCAAGCAGCACAGCAGGAGCCTGAACCTCCTAAAAGTGAGCAGTAGAGACCTACCAAATGTAGTTGATGAACACGTTTAAGTTCAGTTTTTTGTTTCAGTTACAGCGGGATTTTTACGGCGCTGGCAACACAAGTAGATAATAGGGCCTATAAGTGCCGGTGATGAGAGTTTTACTAGATAGTAACACACAAAACTACAGAAACAAGAGAGATTGTATAAGGATAATATGTGAAGGGTGCTGACAAAAAGAGTTGCTTCTCGATTTTAACCCTTTGCAAATACATGTAGTCATGTAGGTACATTACGCTTATAAGTGAAGTTTTTACAATTTATAGGTATGCGATAATAAAAGGCATGTTATACTTTAAGAATATGGTATCAACTGAAAATCTACAAATTTGACCCTAGTGTCGAATTTTTGGCCAATATCTCCATTTGTGGATTGCGAGAAGTAACTCACTTTGACCGCTCGCCTCACATATAATAGATGTTTGGTACGAAAGAAGGAGCAAACCACACCAGAGCACCCGCCAAGCACATAGTGAGATCAGTTTAAGTAAAAGTTATCACAAGTGCATAAAATGTAAGAAAGATAAGATAGACAGAAATTAAAGAGAGTGGGGAAAAGTGATTTTTCATGTAACTAAAGTATTTTCCCCTTTACAACCACAAATAATCAAGTTACATCATTCAGTGTCTAAATTAGGCGAGACATGATATTTCGAACACCTTCTTTTTCTTCTCCTCCCATTTTCACAGTCTCTTTCCTCACACCATTTCGACCAAGACTTAAAAAAACAACAACTTCATACGTCATTTCCTTTGTTTCTAAATGTCGAAATCGCCTCGGTCGACAACATATCACACACTAACAGGTCCCCACCCCCTCTTCCCCCAGCTCCTCCCAAACCAGCCACGCCCCCTGGGCCTAAAGTTGTCAAGCCTGTGGATGTGTACGTGTCGCGTCAGCCACAGCGCCAAGCCCCGCCCCCTAGCACAGCTGAGGGGCTGTACATCGCTCAGCATCTGGGCACCGCCCTCACCCTGGCGCTGGCCGAGATAGCGGAAAAGCGGCCATGGGACCCCATCGAGTACCTGGCCAACTGGCTCTACAACTACCATGACAACACCGACTATGCCAGGAAGGTAAGATCTGCGGTTGGGTGAAGACATACCCCCCCCC